AGTCATTAGAAGAAAATGGGAAATTAATTCTGGAAATAGAAAATAGTTTGCAAGATACTAACAGTAACGTTCTACTTTGGTAGACTAAGGCTCGTGGTGGTAACAGAGGAAATGAAAGAGCCAATAATTTTGCTAAGAAAGTTACTTAAAAACAAGAAATCGATTTTTATTTTTGCGAGACCAAACACCAGTGTCGGAAACTACCAGGGACTGAATTTAACTGTAACCAGTTTTAACTGAAGAGAACTTTCCTTCCCCGCCACCAGGGGTTTTGTTTACTTGCTCTCTCGTTTTTGGCGGCCAACTATGCTACGAGCATTTTTGTAATCGCCTTTTTCTAACTTTTGTAAATGTAAAATTAATCATGTAAACTTAATCATTATTAAATATTTTTATTCTTAAAGATTTACTCCCTGACTTCATACCTGCCACATAACAGATATATTTCAGATTAGATTAAAGCCACTCCAGTATGAAGCAAACGAAATACGACCAAACAAAGGTAAGCGTTACTTACCTATAATTTAAAGCTGTTTTGATCGTAATAACCAGAGTAAAACGGAAATGAGAAAAAATATTAGGCAAAACTGGCACATTTTGTGGGATCATTCAAGTAAAGGTATGCAAGTTCAAAGTTTATTTGAAAATGTTGATGAAAAAAGAGCTTTAGGTGATTTTTGCTTAAATCAGGTCACCATCACAGGACACGGAGCATTTAAAATCTATCAAAACAGATTCTTCGGCATGAGTCCAAGGTGCTTCTGTGGGAAAAATGAAGGAACTGTGGAAATATACTATCCTTAAATGTGATGCATGCCAAGACATCAGAGACACTTACTTTTAAAAAAACAGCAGCTCCATTAAAGAACTTTTGCAGGACAGCCAATCAAGAAAAGGTATAAAATTGATTGTTAAAAATATTCTGGACTTGGAGATGGAAAATATAATTTAAATAGAAAGGAAAATGATAGAGGGCGATTTCGGACTTATTAAAACTCTTCATCTGGAAATCCCCTCCATTTTTTAAAATTTATATTTTATATTTAAAAATGTCTTTAAATTCAACATATATGCTCTATTGTTAATTTCACACATATTTTCTCAAATCGCAGCTGCTTGTATTGCCAACTGCATTTCAGTAGAGAACTAATTTTATTACTCTCCCTGTGTAATGATTTGATAGATTGGTATTTATGTATTTTATAGATGTTATTGATAGATATGTTGAACTAATTGGCCATAATTTCAATCCCCTTTTGTTGTATTTGTCTTTATTGACTACAGCTGTTTTTGTTACATAAACTGATTTTATTTTGCTATCATATGGGGTCTTTTCTATGTTTTTACAATTTATTGCAATTACTCGCCCCTGTATGCTATTCGCAACTGCGTTGTTTGTTTATTTATAATTTGTTGTATGGTACCGTTTTAATTTGCGGCTTCTTATATTCTTTTTTCCTTTTTTTCTTATTATTTGCTTTATTATTATTTTTCTTTTAATGTTTTTAGTTATTACTCATGAAATTTTGTATTGGAAAGTTTGAAATTATGTATAGAAAAATTTTAACTTGTGATAAAAAAAATTGTGTATAGGTTGTTTTAGGTTTTTTTTTCTTATGGTGCTGTGTGTGAAGTGTGTTGTATGGTTAGGTTTAAATTTATGGTTTCCTGTATATATATGCGTGTGTGTTCTCTTTATTTTCCTTAGCATTATTTTTTTTAATGTTATTTAGTTATTATCAAGAAATTGCGTGTAGGAAAGTTTGAGAGTGCGTATAGGAAATCTGCACAATTAACCAACACAATTGCGAGAAATTGTGTTGGTTGTTTTAGCCTTTAAATTTATGTATAGGAAATTTTGAAACTATGATAAGGAATTGTGTATAGATTGATTTAGCCTTTTTCTTGTGATGCAGAGTGTTGCATGTTTAGGTTTTAATTTGTGGTTTCCTGTATAGTATATATATATATATATATATATATATATATATATATATATATTTAAGATTTCTTTTTTTTTCTCTTTATTTTCCTTATGACTGTATTTTAATTAATGTTATTTGGTAATTATTAACAATTTTGTGTTTAGGAAAATTTGAAAGTGCGTATAGGAATTTGAAATTGTGAGAAATTGTGTTGGTTGTTTTAACATTTTTTCCTATGAAACAGTGTTATTTGTGAATAAATTTTCTACTCGAATTTGCTGGCGATCTTCGGAACTGTCAGTGGCTCGATATTTGTATGTCCGTAAGGACAGGTCAAATTACCAGTTATATTATCTTATGAAGCAGTGTGCCTTATGTCGAATTTTTGTGCTCAAATTTGCTGGCGTTATTCGGCTCGATATTTGTCTCTTAGTGGTTCGAAATTTGATTGTCCGTATGGACAGGTCAAATTGCTATTTATTATTAGCGGAATTCTATTCATCGATTCAAACATGCTTCTTTTATTCTTTCTGTATTTTAATTTATATATCTGAACTAGTGGCAGAATTTTGACTTTGTGTTTGGGAAATCGAGATTGCAATTCGGTTTCCTCTTGCGTAGCATAGCTTAGTAGTCGTTTCTAAATTATCCCATAAATATTCGAGCTTTATGAAATAGATAATTGGTTTAAAGGAATTATATTTATACCGTTATAGCATTGATTTATAATGAATCATTGCATTGTTATATATAAACAGCAATTAAAAATAGCCCGATATTGAATGTTAAACCTACTTCAGTTTTTCATCAGTTGATTTAGCTGGAACATCGCATTCATCGTTTCAATCATTCAGTACTCTCCCTCTATTCATTTAATCTGAATTGGTAACAGAGATTTGGCTTCTAAATTCGAATGTTGCAGTGTCGTTCCGTTATGTATGATGATCTGGTATGCATTTAAAGCTCTTACACTGGACAACTTTGATGACGAGTCTTAATTGTATCATATAATTTCGAATTCAACTCCATAATTTATTAATTTTAATAAATTATATTATACAACTAAAGCACTATATTAGATAACGCTATCATAGCATTGCATACGTGCAACAATTCACCTCGTTACTAAGCTATTTCGTCCAGTTCGTAGGCTGACGTGGAGCATCGTATATCCTCCCGCTGGTATGGCGCAAAGGCTTGGAGGGGAATTACCGCCTTACCTGACACTATTTCAAAACTACGAGGCACTTCTCAAAAGGCCCCGTGTACGCCATTTGCGTTATTTTAATATAATTAAACCAAATGCACCTTATTAGATAAATAAATAAGAAAAAGCTGTATTAATTAATGGGAAATGAATGAAACACAATTTAAAATGATTATTCGGTAGTTTTTAATGAATACCTTAAGTGAAGTTGATATTCTGAATTGGTTTATAGAAAATGGAAAGAAAGTATTAAGATTGAAAAAAATCTCGCTATTGCAGCTTAATGCGAATTAATGAATGGTGTCGCAACAAAACTGAATTAAACCTGGCAAAATCAGACCTGACAAAAGTCTTTAAGGCTGCCAATTGTTTACTCAATTTCATTAAAGTAATGCTCTTATTATTAATTATGTGGTAAAACATAAATTATAATGATAAGAATAATATAAATTATAGCGATATTAAAATCTACTAAATCTATGGTTAAACATAAAACTACAATTCTGTTTCATTTAATAAAATTTTCTTAAGCTCTCAAACTACAATAATACACAGATAAAAACAGAAAATTCACTGAATCTGAAAAGTCTTTTATGTTTTTAACTTGACTACCCAATAAACACAAAAAAATATCAATAATATTTGGATGCATATTTATGAAAGCTTAATTACACTTTCAGTATTAACTCAGTTTAATTAAATTTGAAAGATAGTAAAAAAGCCAAAAACACTAAAATTATTTTCATTGAAGTTTATTTCAATAAAAACTCCCGAATGATGTCGTGTTATTGAGAGTTTTGAACAATAATTAGAATATAAAGGGGAAAAAATTACTGATCACAGTATCCGTAAGCTTCCTTCATGATTTGAGTTTCGCAAGAAGAAATAATTTATTAAATTTAATATTTGTATCACAAGTTTATCGGAATGAAGGATTTTTGTAATCTTCAGTAAAAACATAAATCTCACATCACAGGTTCTCTTTATATAGCAACTCAGATACAATGCAAAATGAAATGTTTAAACAAAAAATGTTCCCTTATAAATAAATAAAAATTGGGCATAGTGCATTAAATTTCATATAATTGTTTATAATTTTCTAAAAATGTGTTGTAAATGAGGCTAAACATGTAATGCTTATTTGAAGAAATGATTTTGGAAATTGCTTAGATAACAACTTACACACAGAAGAAAATGTTTTAGAAATAATATAAATAAATGCGCGAAGTAAGGCATACTGCCTTATTTTATGCTATTGAAGCGTTAAGATAATTCTCATGCAATATTGATATTTCAAAAATAAAAATGATAGTAACTGAATAATAGTAATTTTCAAAAGAATTTGTAACAGAAATTACAAGTGAATTTGTTGAAATTATTTAAAAATTTAGAATCAATGCCGATTATGTTGCGCCGATTTTATTCTGGAATCCACCAATCATGTTAGAGATGAAAAAGAACCTGATACTAATACTCAGCTTAACACATTAATACCCATTCGCACTTTTTCAATATATTTTGTATAATAATATTGCATGCCGTGAAATCAAATGGAAATTCAATTAAAAATTTCCTGTATGAAAAATTTGTTTTAATGTCCTCGTAACCCTACCCCAGATAGCAAAGAAGGTTGCGGAAAAGTTGCCATTTCACTTTCCATAGGCAGCCCGCGAAAGCATTTCCGCGCAAACCGTTTCGGAAGCCATTTCCACAAGGCTTACGTAGGAAAGCTTTCTATGAACTATCTCAACGACAAGGTTTGAACGACAAGTACGCGAAAGCATTTCTGCTCAAACTGCTTCGGAAACCATTCCTACAAAATTGACGTAGGAGAGCTTTTTATGAACCACCTGTCTCATCGTGTGTCCCCGTCCGGTATAGTGGTTATTGTGTTCGCCTTCCAGTTCTAAGAACGCGGGTTCGATCCCCGACTCGGAGGGATGTGAAGTTTTGTCACAATCTACAACGAAATCGTACAAGTAAGTTCAATTAAAAATTAAATTAATTGAAATTAATAATAAAGTTTTGCTTATTTAAGATTCCTAATTAATCTAATTAGTTGACATTCCAGACAACTCTACGTTGGACTAAGATGACGTCAGAAGGGGGATAAAAAAGGGGTTGGAAAGTACGGCTTTGAAGAGGGGGTGAAAAGGGGGAGGTTGGACCCTCCTGTAGGAGCACGGCTTCGGAGGGGGGAAGGGGTTCTATTTTGTCCATGGAAGGAGGGCTCTTAACAACTTTTTGAAAGTCCTGAAACAAGCTTGTAATAAAAGCTTGGGGAAATCTTATTAAAAACCTTACAGAAAATCTGTTTGTTTTTGTTCTTGTTGACTAGCGTACCTTTCCGCTACCTTGCCGAAAGGTTCAACCCTTGCCATGTGAACCTTTGCGACAACCCTTTACCCTTGCTGACGACAAGGTTTCCAAAACCTTTTAGACAAGCTTTCTTTGCTATCTGGGACCCCTCTATATGGTGACGTAATGTAAAATGCAGAAAAAACTGTAAAAATATAAAATTATCTGAAATTCCAGAAAAAAAAAACATATTCTTTCATCTGTATTTTCTTATATATTTGGTAAATGCAAGTCTGATAAGTAAGTGAACAGCTGAACTTCTTCTTCTTGACATTGCTAAAAGTTACTTTCGAGTCTTATATGAAAATAAACAGTCAACCGAACGCTTAATACGTGCTACCATTGAATGAATGCAACTGAAATGGAAACTTAAAACTATTTGTTTGTAAAATATATGTTGGAAACGTAACTCCTGCGAGTGTATTTTGAATATATAGAAGTACATCTAAAGAAAGACGCAAGAAATTAATGGGTTAAAACAATGTGTAGTTAGATCTTAGGTGCCATGTATCTGTGACTACATTTAAATTGGCTCTATTTTGTAGTTTGCATCATAATTTTACATTGAAAAAACTCTAATTTTTCTCATTGATCGCAAATTGACTGAGAATTAAATTAATTAAAACTCAAATGATTTCTTAACGCTTTATAAGGAGTGGGAAGTATACTTCTTACCAAATTCGTCAATTTTTAAGGTTGTCATAGAGTTTGCGCCAAATTTTTTGAGTAAACAGAAACTTAAACGTTCCAATTTCTTATCTCAAATCATAACGATGTGTCATGACGTGAAAATTATTAATTAATAAACTAATTAACAAAAAATAAAAGTTAATCAGTTAGCTAAATAAATATCTTTTTTTAAATTAATCGCAATCCCAAAGTTATTTTATTATACCACTGCTAGAAAAATATAGCCCTTTATAGGGTAACAATTGAAAATGCTTGTAGAGAATTATTTTAAACAATTTTGATTAAGAATAATAAATGAAATTTGAAATAAATGAGCGAAATTCTGCTGAGAAAAACCTATTTAAGCTTTATAAATAAGGTTCAAAAGCAATGTATTCCAACCATAAAAGAACCATAAACCTTCAATCTCCTTCTTTTTACAGCTTCCTTCACATAATTACTCATCCTTCAAAAATTCCAATTCTCCATCCACAAAAACTCCATTCTCTTCCAAACACTTCCGTTCCCAGGAACAAACTCAAAGAAAGATTCTATTCTATGTAGAGAAATAAATAATGAGAATTATCTTAGCGCAGCATGCGGAACGTTGTCAGGCCAATGATAGATGAGCAAGCGATGCAGTTTTTCCGCTGATTATCTCTTTCTTTTGTATCAATCACTTTCATTAAGTCGATGACATACAGCATTTTTGTTGCATTATGTGTGAAATATCTTTCCAATCGGTACTGATGGTGATACAATACCACTTTTTTTCACGCGTCCCGTTTTTATCCACATTCTGTAGAAAATGATTCGGAATCTGGTAAATGATCTAATTGTGTGACTTTTTGTTGACGTTGGAAAAAATAAGTCGTTTATCGTATTAAGAAAAAGCAAGGCTATGGCAAAAAATATGACGAACAATAAATTATTTGTCTTTGTGTTTATTAATGAAATCTTTTCAAAGCTTAGCATTTCTTTAATGGCAACTTTAATGAATCATGTTATCTCACACTTAGGATAAAAACTAAAAATAGCCTAGCGATATTGAAGTATACTATTAAGGCGAAAACTATAATATTCAGAAAGGCTCAATATTTTGGCGGGAACATATTTTATTAATATTATTCAACTACTACTACCAGAGCTGGCTGTTGCAAATGTCGTACCACTAAACGATTCCATTTTCATTTCCCAGGGTTGATAATTTATGGGATCTGTTATTACACGGAAAATTTCTGTATTTCCCTCTCCTTATGTATCTCTCCATGAGTGATCATGAAGATTTTCAGGGTAAATTTACTCGCATTTGTATTTCTCTTGGAGGTAAACCTCCAACAGTTCGCTGGAACGCAATTCTTTTCTAAAGCGCACTTCGACCTACCAGGTTTTGACTGATTCGGAAAGCCATAGGAAACTGTCTCGCACAGTGACTTTATCCTTAAATCTCATCTTTCAAACACTTGAAAAGAAGGAAAAGCCTTTTCTGTTCCTTGATATCTTAAAAGGATATTTCAGATTTTTCTAGGCGTAATCTAAAATATTTAATATTAATTTAATAATGAACATTCCTAAAATATTTATACGATAGCCGGAGCCAAATTATAAGAAAACACATTCCAGGGTTACATATGTGAAGGCAGTACTAATAAAGGTTTGGTACATCATATTTGTACCCATCTACGTTTTACAAAAAAAAAAAAAAAAAAACCCAAAAAAAAAAAAAAAATCCTGGAAATATTTTTCTTCAAGTTGAAATAATAGGCCACTCTCAAGCTTTCAAAAATGTTTCCGAAGAAATGATATCATCAACGAATTTTGATGCAGAATTACATACAAATTTAAGTGTTTTTGAAAAAAAACCAAAATTATAATTTGAGGCAAACGAATTATATACAACTAAAAGTTGTATCCATTTATACAATTCATAATTTTTTTTAACCTTGAAACACCATTTTTAACCCCTTCAGACCTGGTGTCCGGTATACCGGACATCAACTTTGAACTGCTCCTATTAATTCAATAATTGAAAAAACCACATGCTGTTTTTTTTATTTGATTCTCGATTTTCTTATGAATATGATCGTTGCAAGAATTTTTTCTTTTCGGGCATGGAATAATTTCATTTTTTTAGTTTTTTGAAAAAAAAATTGAGAAAATCATCGTTCTTCCTAAAATGGTGCTTGATGGTGAATTTTGTTTTTCAAATAATTTCTTGTTTTTAATCCTTTTTTCACCATTTTAAAGGCTTCTGCAATATTTTATTACCCTTTGACAACCATTTTAAAGTGAAATATTTGTGATTTTGTGTCTTTTTTTATTTGAAATATCCGGTATTGTCCGGATGCCGGACATGGGGTAACTTCTTTAATTTTTCATCTAGAGGCTTGAAATTTCATTTATGCTTTAATCTTTGTAGTAGTACACAGTACTCCAAAGGAAAAAATTCTAACTCAATTATTTCTTAATTCCGACTGAGCGAATTCTGGTGAAAATAAAACAAAGAAAACTCTTAAATTATGTGTAAAAACTTTAAAAATAGAAAATCAAATATAAGTTATTGTTCTGAGAGACGAAAGGCTTCATATCTCCTATATTTTTTTTCGAATTAATGATATCTTTTTGTGATTATCCAAACACATAATAAAACTCCTAAAAATTCCAAAAAGGGTGGTAAGTTTTTCTTTTATAAATTTTTAATTATATCTGTAATAAATAATGAAATTTTAAAAAAATGCTTTCTTTTTTAAAAAAAAACAAGATTATTTGGTAGAAATATTGAACAAAATCGATCTTGAAATTAAAATAACAAATTTAAAAATTCAAATAACACATTTAAAAGGTATAAATTTGTTATTTCTTAAATCATTCATTTTTTTACTAATTTTGGAATTTCAATTCTTTAGTAATTTTAGAATTTTTTAAAAAAGTCTTTTTCATATATAATTTGTAAATATACTTTTTTCCCTTTTAAATCATATTTTTAACAATATTTGCTTTTAGGCCATAGAAAAATGTAGACTAAAGCTTAAAAATATAATTGCCAAGCAGCAATTTAAATTTCCTCTTCTGAGGAATTCGTTTCTCCATTACTTTAATACTAGAAGAAAGAAAAATTAATGCGAAAGTTTTCAAGTTTTCGCTTAGAACTAAGAAACTAAGCTGCGTCGCAATATCTCGCTAAATGTTTGAGAAAAACTATTGCTGAAAAGCTTAACCTTTGCGTAGAGCAACAACGAACCTGATCGATTCAGGTCATGAAGTAATCTATCAAACTCTACATGCCATCCACAGAAAAGAACTTTCCTTAAGTTCTTCTGTAACATCACTTTACTTTGTACCAGGTAGACGGTCTTAAACATCATTGTCTTTAAAATTTCTTTGAAAGTACTCGAACTCTAGAAAAGAAAATTGAGATGATATGTGTTTTAAAAATGGATTCATTCAAAAATAAGTTGAAATTGATTGGTCTTCAAACTTTTGATCTTTGAATATATTTAGTTTGAAAAATGTATTCATTCAATGTAAGAAAATATTAATGTAATTAATTCAATGTAAGAAATATTAATGTAATTAA